GATTCCCCTCCCCACTACCCCCCCTACTTACTGGGGCTGGGGAGGGTTGGGGAGGGGCCTCAGTCCCCATTCTGTGTCCATCACCACAGCCAGCGCTACTGCATGTGCAACCCCGAGGTGGTGCAGCAGTTCCACAACCCTGACACCATCTTCATCCTGGCCTTTGCCATCATCCTCCTCAACACCGACATGTACAGCCCCAACATCAAGCCTGACCGGAAGATGATGCTGGAGGATTTCATCCGGAACCTTCGAGGTGAGGAGGTGGGGGCAGGGGGTGGGCCAGGCCACTACTTTGGCCTCTTCTGTTCAGTGTTAATTCTGTGAGTCTGAGCCCCATTGTAGATCGTCACTGCAGCAGCCAAAGGAGCTGGACGCTGCTCTCTGGGCCGGGTCTTGCATAGCAGCCTGGGAAAGTTGCTTGCATGCCGGATGCCTGGGGAGTTTCCGGGAGCCACTGCCGCTGTCCTGTACTAAGCAGCGAGAGCCCCTGGGCAAAGTCCTTTGCCCTGCATGGCTGTCCTCCATTGGCTGACCTCTAGGCCCCTGACAACAAAGCTGCAGCCAAGGTGGTAGCAGCCCTTCCCACTTCACAACTTCTGAGGGCTCTTCGGTCTTGGGTCCGTTTAAGTCAGCCCTGCAGATAACCAATGGAATCTGCCAGCCAAGTTTTTTTCTAAAGGATACAGGGCACCACCCGGCAGGCTGTGATGTGTGCTCAATTGATTTTTTCTATTTTTAGCATTTTGAAAATAAAAGTTATGCATGAATATAATTTAATAAAGTCAAATAGTTCTACAAGACTTACTAAAAACATTAGTCCCTGCCCCTGTCACCACTCTCCTTCCTTAGGGGCAGCCACTTTCATTCTGTTCCTTCTTTATTGTGTTTCCTCTATTTCACTAAATAACACGCTTCTTTCTGCTTCTTTTTTTCTTACTCCTTTTTTATTGGTATAAAATGCATACTGTAAGGTCTATAAATCTGAGATCTTGATGAATGTTTATGTTCCTATACAGATAGATAATCACACCCAGATCTAAATATAGATCACTGTCCTCACCTCAGAACATTCTCTCTCATTCCATTCCATTCAATACCCCTGCCCTTGAGTAACAACTCTCCTGACCTTCCATCACCATTGACTAGCTGTGGCAGCTCTTGAACTTCATATGAATGGGATTATACAGTATATATACTTTGGTATGTGGTTTCTTTCACATTCTGCTACTTACTCATTTTTAAAATGTTAAGTGTTATCTATTAATTTCTGTCTCAATCTGTTCAAGCTGCTATAACAAAATACCACAGCCTGGGTAGCTTATAAACAACAGACACATATATCTCACAGTTCTGGAGGCTGGAAGTCCAAGGTCAAGGCACAAGCAGATTCGGTGTCTGGCGAGAGCCCACTTCCTTGTTCTAGCTGATGCTTCTCACTGTGTCCTCATGTGGTGCCAGGGGTGAGAGTTCTGTGGGGTCTCTTTTCATACGTGCACTAATCCCATTCATGAGAACTCAATCCTCCTGACTTAAGCACCTTCTGAAAGCCCCACCTCCCAATACCCTTGGGCATTAGGATTTCAACATATGAATTTGGCAGGGGCACAAACATTCAGACCACAGCAATCTCCCCTTATAAACTATAAAGATTAACTCTCTTTCATTTACCTTCCCCAAGTTACTCCCACTAAAACTACGTCATAGCCCCATGCTCTCAGTATAGTTATAGCATCATTTTGTTTGCATCAGTGTTTATGTTATTAAGACTAGGTAAACACATCCAAAGCTGAGTCTTGAAGTATATAATGATTACACATCCTTTCTATTTTCCTTGGAATGAATACTTGTGTTCTTTGTCCATTTGCTTAGCTCTCTATGTACCTACCATTAATTCATCTCTAAACTCTCCACCTTAAGTGTCAAGTTCCTCTACACACATTGAGTCCCAGCAGGTATTCCATGAGTTTCATCTTCTGGGAGTTGTCTCTCCTGGAGCCTCTAGTTCTGCTCTGATCTGGATAGCTGCATAGCTGTCATTCTGATATCTCCCTTCACCGTTATCTGGGGATCTCCTTCACCTTGCTCCTGTGTTAGATTCATGTTGCCTAGATTTCATAGCTGCTTCTTTGAGAGAGAAAGGCACACTTTTTTTCCCCCAGGAAGAAAAGTACACTGTGGAGGCAAACATTTTGAGAACTTGTGTGTCGGAATGTATCTTTTTCTATCTTCACTCTGGGAGTCTAGCTGGGAATAGAATTCCAGATTGGAAACATTGAACTCAGAATTTTGAAGGTGTTGCTCCATTGTCTTTTAACTGACAATGCTAAAGAACGCCCTGTCATTCCAATTCCTGATCTTTTGCTATTATTTTTTTCTTGCTCTCTCTCTGAAAATGCATAGGTTCTTCTCTTTGTCCTTTGTTTTCTGAATTTTTATGATGACGTGCCTTGTTAAGTTTTTCTCCCCCCACCCCTCCACACCCCCTCTATTGTACTAGGCACTGAGTTGTTCTTTCAGTGTAGAAACACAAGTTCTCCAATTGTGGGAAGTTTTCTAAATATTGTATTTGTTCATTTCCCCCTCCATTTTCTCTGTACTCTTCTTCTGGAACTCTTATTATTCAGTTGTTAGGTCTCCTAGTTTGATCTTCTAATTTTTACAATTTTCTATCTGCCGTCTTTGTCTTCTGGTTGACTTTCTTGAAGATATCCTTACCTTTCCAGTCTCCTACTAAGTTTTTAATTTCTGTTGTCATATTTTTCACTTTAAATAACTCTTTTTTTGTTCTCTAAATGTTCCTCTTCTGTAGCATTTTATTCTTGTTTTGTAGATGCGATATCTTCTTATTATCTCTGAAAACATTAATGATATGTTTTTATTTGATTGTTTCCGGTTCTTCTTGCTTGTCTTCATTTCTCCTGGCTTTTGTTTTCTGTTTTTCCCATACTTCTTTCTCATATATAGTTGACAAAACTTGATTGTCCTTTTATTTTTAAGAGTGAGCCACTAAACAGCTGATTAAACACTCTGTGAGTATGGCGGGCTGCTGAATAGTGGACTTTCTCATAGGGTGGTTTAGTTGAGCTGTTTTGTTGGGGGCCCCTACTGCAGTATCTCTAAATGTTTCTCTTGTGCTGGTTGATTCCCCAAAAGAGAAATGTCCAATCTGTTGTTCAGAGGCTATGAGTCTGGCTTCCAAAATTCTGAGACCTTTGTGGATAAATAGGGTTGAGGGGGTCTCTTAATACTTAGACATCAGTTCCATCTTCCAGTTTTCAACACAGACTCCCACCTTTGGCTGGGTTGGGGGACCCCCAACAAGAGTTNTGTCTCTGGATCTATTTTGTTCATCAGTTTATTTTGTTCATTAGATTACACATATGAGTAAGATACACACTCAACTCTCTCCAACAGGCTTATTTCACTTCGCATAATACTCACCAGGTCCCACCATGCTGTCTCAAAGGGTAAAGGATCCTTCATTTTTATAGCTGCATAGTGTTCCATTNATAAATAGGGTTGAGGGGGTCTCTTAATACTTAGACATCAGTTCCATCTTCCAGTTTTCAACACAGACTCCCACCTTTGGCTGGGTTGGGGGACCCCCAACAAGAGTTCCTGGTTCATCCCTTTCAGAGGATTAACCTAGAGTGTTTTGCTGTAGTACAGGAAGGGATAGGAAAATCTAAATGTTTTCTAGATTTACAAACTATTTTTCTGTTTCCAGCCCACCTTCACCTCCACTTTAAGAGTTCCTATTGCCACCAATTCTAGAGCCTTTCTAGGTTCTGTGGCGCTTCAGTGTCTACTTTCTTAGGTTTGCTTACCCATTTACTCCTTTGTCTGCTTTCCAGGCTCCATGGTGCCATCTCTCTTCCCTGTCCTCTTTGTCTTTGTGGGTGTAGCCTCCTTTTTTAAAAAATNTAAAGGATCCTTCATTTTTATAGCTGCATAGTGTTCCATTGTGTAAATGTCCCAGAAGATGCTTGATATGATTTCAATCTTCTTGAACTTGTAGAGACTTGTTTTGTGTTCTAATTGGGTTTTCTTTGAGTGTGTCTCACTTGCACTTGAGGAGAATCCCTATTCTGCAGCTTTGGAGTGAAATGACCTGTAAATGTCAGTTAAATCCATCTGATCTAGTGTGTCATTTAGAGTCACTGTTTCCCCGTTGGTTTTATGTCTGGAAGATCTATCCAGTGAAGTCAGTGGGGTGTTAAAGTTCCCTACTATGACTGTACTGCTGATGATCTCTCCTTTAAAGTCTCCAGAAGTTTTGTTTTTGTTTGTGGGTTTTTTCCAGTCTGTGTAAGTCTTTTGTACTGAGGTGGGTCTCTTGTAGACAGCACATATTTGGATCTTGTTTTCTTATCTGTTCAGCTACCCTATGTTTTTTGATTGGGACATTTTCAACTTCTTATTACAGCAGTCCCTTTAACATTTCTTCAATGCTGGTTTGGTGCTGATAAGTTCCTTTAGCCTTTTTTTTTGCCTGGAAAGCTCTTTATTTCACCATCTATTTTGAATGATAGCCTTGCTGTATAGACTGTTCTTGGTTTCAGATCCTTGTTTTGCATTACCTTGAATACTTCATGCCATTCCCTTCTGACCTGTAGAGTTTCTGATGAGAAATCAGCTGACAGCCTTATGGGAGCTCCTTTGTAAGTAACAGATTACTTTTCTCTTACTGCCTTTAAGATTCTCTGTCTTGAAATTTTGGCATTTTAATTATGATGTGTTTGGGTGTGGGCCTCTTTGGGTTCTTCTTGCTTGGGACTCTGTGCATCCTAAACTTGAGTGACTTTTTCCTTGACCATGTTAGGGAAGTTTTCTGCCATTATTTCTTTAAACAGGTTCTCTAACCCTTGCTTGCTTTCTACTTCTTCTGACACACCTATGATGTGAATATTGTTATGTTTCATGTTGTGCCACAGCTCCCTTAAACTATCCTCCTGTTTTTTAATTGTTTTTTCTTTTTGGTTCTCTGATTGATTGATTTTTTCTACCTTGTCTTCTAATTTGCTGATCCAATCCTAAGCTTCCCCTAATCTGCTGTTCATTCCTTCCAATGTTTTTTCTTTTATTTCTCCTGTCATTCCTAATTTTCTTCATAGTTTCTTTATATTTTTTCATGCTGTTGAGCATCCTTATGATCAGTAGTCTGAACTCCATATCTGATTGATTACTTATCTCCATTTCACTTAGCTCTTCTTCTGGAGACTTCTCTTGTTCTTTCATTTGGGGCTTGTTTTTTGTCTTCCCATTTTGGCTGCCTGTTTGGATTTGTTTCTATATATTAGGTAGATCTGCTAGGACTCCCAGTCTTTTGGATGGTCTCTAGTGTAGACCAATGTTCGACACTGTTTGTGACTGGCCTTGTGTACCCTGTTTGAAGTTTTCCACACTCCACAGCTTCTGGTTTCCTCTGCTGAGGTTGAGTGTGTTTGGATGGGACCACGATGTGCGTTTCCAAGCCCTGGGTCCAGAAGCAAATTAGGCAAAGACTCAAAGCACCCAGAGGCTGTTATTCAGTCTCTTAATAAGCCTCAGGCTGTAGAAAGGCCACAGGGTGGGGCCAGAGGTTTTCCAGCAGGGTGAGGCAATTCCCCCCCTCCCCCCGCCAAAAGCTACTTGGAAGGTAAATGTCTGCCCAAGAAAGATGTCCTCGGCTGTATGGGAGAAAGACTTAGCACCAGGGTCCAGATGGCTGCCCTCTGAACCCCATTCCCCTAGCCAACCCCCCTAGATTCTCCTCATATTGTTCTAGTCCACTCTGCCTTTCCTCTGCTGGCACCCAAGGTGAGTGAGTTCACACAAAACTTTGTGTGTTGGCTCTTTAAGAGGGTGCCTGCATTTCCAGACATCTCTCCCTGACAGACAGAAACTCCTCTGCTTTTCACAGCCAGGTGTTATGTCGGCATCTTTCTCAGTTCTGGTGCCCTGGGCTGGGGAGCCCAGTTTGGGGTTTAGACCCCAGAGTCCTCAGTGGGAACCCCCAACACCTAAGATATCCCTCTGGACCTTCAGCTGCTGCCTATGGGAGCCTGGCTAGCCCTATTGTGCCTCCACACTTCCTACCAGTCTATGCAGACTCCTAAAGGTCCTTGGTTATGAGGGTAGTCTCCAGCTCTTCTTCAGTTGCAGTTGATTATTCAGGGTAGTTTTTTTATATTTCAGCTGTGATTCCCTTTTGGTCCTGGAAGAGTGTCGGCGTAGCTTTCATTCAATCCACTGCCATCTTGGATCTCTATATTGTGGATGTATCCTCTTTTAAAAATTCCTTTTTACCAGAAGATTCAGAAAGAGCAGGTGTGCAACCTACCATCTTTACCTGGGAGCCTCTGTGTAATCAGTCTTGATCCCTGCTTTTTCTTGCCCCGGTTTGATTTCTTTCAGGCCCCCAGGGGTGCTGCATGGCCCATTAGCCCACCTTTAAGAGCCAAGTACAGATGTGGAAGAAACAGGGTCAATACAGAGAGTTGCTCATAGAAGGTGAATGTCCTTTCAGTCATAAGAAAACTCCTTTGAGGACACTTGCCAAGGTTGCTTTATTTTCAATTTTTTCCTCTTATCAAAGAAGTGTACTGTCATTAAAGATTTAGAAAAAGTAGAAGTTCTTTATTGCCTCTGTTTCTACTTCCAAAGAAATTTGTTTTCATGTTGATACATTTCCTGCTAGTAATATTTGTTACCAGAATATTTGTTACTATGAAGTAGGAGGTGGATAGAGGGCCTCCTTACCTGCATTGCACATGGGCTGCCCTGCTCCTCTTCAATCAATGTCTAATTCTCCCAACGTTCCCAGCGAGGGAACAATCTTGTCACTCATTCAGCAACTAATCACTGAGCATTGTGCTCCTTATTGGAAGGGAAGGGAGGCCCAAGAAGGGGAAAATTCAAAAGGAAACTAGACAGAACATTGGCCTTTAAGATGCTCTCGTGGCAGGGCAGGGGAGAGGGGGTTAGACAAATGCATGGAGGACAGACTGCAGAAACAAGGTCATATAGCAGGTGCAGGGAGGCTGTATTTGGAGGTGGGAGTGGAGGTTCTGAAACAATAGGAGATGAGGCTAGTAATGTGTGTTGGGATCATATTATAATAGTTCTAGTGCCTGGCTAAGGAGTTTGTCTTTAATTTAGTGGATATGGGCAGCCAGCCATTGAAGGCTTTGGAACAGGGACAGGGCAAAATCAAGGCCACCCTTTGGGAGCATCAATCTGGTAGGGGCTTCCCCTCTCTGACTGCAGGCTTCTAACACATCTTTCCTCCACCTGCCCACCTCCCTTCTCACACTGCAGGCGTGGATGATGGCGCAGACATCCCCAGAGAACTGGTGGTAGGCATCTACGAAAGGATACAGCAGAAGGAGCTCAAGTCCAATGAGGACCACGTCACGTATGTCACCAAGGTGGAGAAGTCCATTGTGGGCATGAAGACAGTAAGTGCCCACTGCAGAGCAGTATCTCTCGGGGAGGGTCATGTCCTCTTCTGTGTCTGCTAAGCTCCCCCATTGCCAATCTCCTCTCATTTTTTTCTCCCTAACATCTCCTATTCTCCTCCTTGCCTTTCAAAAACCCTTTTTGTTACTCGTGTACTTAGTAGTTATTGAGTCCCTACCGTGTGCCATGCACTGCACCCTTATTGCCTCTGTTCCCAGCTGCTGCAGCAGGGAGACTGAGGTGAGTTGTCAGGCAAGACTGCCCAGTGCTCTAGGGTTGAAGCATCTGGATGGCTAGATAGGGGGGTTTAGAATGAGGATGGCTACTGGGCATTCCTGGCTAGTCCCACTGGATAGACACAGAGAACGGGCTAAGGTAGGCTTTAGACTGTGGTATCTCAAACCACAGGGGTGCCCCTTAGTTGCGACCTGTGTCACAGGCAATATGTTGTGAGTTTGCAGTTATTTTTAAGGTAAGCATTCTCTTTGGTTTACTACTCTACTTACATGACAGCGGAGGCTCTTCATGCCATAAATACAAAGGGTGTGGAGCAGGTTCTGGGTTCGGTCTCCAGTTCCTCCTCCCTGAATTGCTGGGGGCACTTTGGGGACCTCCTTGGAGGCTGTGCACTGGCTCCTCCACCCAGTCTGCACAGGGTTGGCCCTTTTCTGCCCAGAGCCTATATTGCTGAGGTTTTAGCATCTCTCTGGTCTACAGATGCCACTGGAGTAGATGGTTTTTACACCTTGAGGTGTCCCTGTAGTCCCCCATTTTCTACACTTGCGTTTAGGTGTGCAGTGGAAAATGGGTGGGTGCCATCTTGCAGGCCACAGCCTGGGAAATAGGGTGCCCTCGAGAAGGTCTTGGAGGGAAACAGGTTGACAGCAACTGGATGTGAACAGTCTGGAAGTGCTTATCAACTGTCTTTCCCATTCCTTTACCTCCTCACTTACTCCAGCATACTGAGCCCTTCTCCCCCAGCATTGCTCCCTAAGAAACGTGAGGAAGGGGAAAGAGCCCCAGCGAGGAGAGAGGAGGTTTAGGGTCAAGTACAGGCCCTGTAATAGTGTCCTGGGCCTCCATCTGCTCTTCTGGGAAATGGGTGCTTTGGGTGGGGGCAGGGCCCTGAGCTCTGGGCCATCTCCTGCTGAGCACATGCCTCTCTCCAGGTGCTGTCAGTGCCCCATCGCCGCCTGGTCTGCTGCAGCCGGCTCTTTGAGGTGACGGATGTGAACAAGCTGCAGAAGCAGGCCGCCCATCAGAGGGAGGTGTTCCTCTTCAACGACTTGCTGGTGGTGAGCCAACAGGCCCAGGCACCTGCTGGCCTGCTTGGCCTTAGCGGGGACTCCCAAAGAGGAGCAGAAGAGTTTCACACCAAATGCTGTGTACTTAGTGGCTGATTTACCTTGTTTGTGGCATTTTTACATCATAGGTGTGAGGTAGCTCAGGTGGATAGGATCATTTCTACCTTATAAGTTATGAAGTGGAGGCATAGAGAGGTTAAATCATTTCCACTGTCATGGTGGAAATGAATTAGATCCTGGATGCTGCAGTCCAGTATTAGGGGAAGCCTGGGCAGGCAGGATACAGGGATGTGCTTCATGTCCCACAGCCAGGGTGTATGGTGCTGGTCCTGGACCTAAGCGCTGTCCCTGGGCCTGAAGGGATGCTGGTGTGTGTGTGTGCGTGTGTGTGCGTGTGCTCGCGTGTGCATGTCCACATCTGTATGGTACTCATTCTTTGCTCTTTGAAGACAGGTATCTATTCCACACATGTTTAATGAGTGTCCACTGTGTGCCATGCATTGTTTTAAGTGCTAGCAAACAATGGTGAACAGAATTTGGTTTCTGTCTTTCCTTCATATCCCACATCCTGTCTACCCATGAATCTGATTGGCACTACTTTTAAAATTACCCCAAATCTAACAATCTTGCGCTAAGGTCCATCTTCCACAGAGCCAGGAGTGATCATTCCAGAGTGCATTTCAGGCCTGTCTGCCATGCAGGAAAAGAAAGTCCCACCTTCCAGCCCCGGGGCTCCAGGACCTCTGACCTCTGACCTCATGCCCTGGCTTCTTCCTTAGCTGCTCTGGCACCTTGCCCCACAGGCTGCCTCCCGTGGGCCCCTCCCATGTACCCCCACAATTCCATCGCAGGCCTTCCTTTGTTCTTGCTGGTCCTTCTGCTTGAAAAGCTCCTCCCCCTCATCCCACCTACCCCCCACCTTTGCCCTACCACCACCCTCTTTTCATTCAGGTCTCAATTCAAGCATCACCTCCTTACACAGGCCCTCCCTGCCCACCTAGCAAGGGAGCTTGCCAGTCACTGTCTAATCCTTCATTTCCTTCAAAACACTTCTCAGTCTCTGAAATTACCGTATCCGTTTTTTGTTTGTTTGTTTGCTTATTGTGCTGTATTGTCCCTGACTGTCTTCCTCCACCAAAGCATAAGCACCCTGAGGGCAGGGCCTTATATCTCCCTTCTCCTGTGTCTCCAGAGTCCAGCTCATGGAGGGTGCTCAAGAAATATTTGTGTATTGAGCAACTGGCTTACAGAGTTTTCATTTTAGTAGAGTAAGGAGATAAAAAAGTAATTGAGAAGACAAATAGAGAAGATAATATCAAATTGAGAGGAAGGTGCTATGAAAACAATAGAACAGTAATAGGACAGGGAGTGACTGATGTTAAGGTGGACTTTTTGTTTATTTATTTTGTTTTTGTTTGGTTTTTAGATAGAGCAGTCAAGGAAGGAATCTCTAAGGAGGTAGCATTTCATTTAATATCTAAGTAATGAGAGTAACCCCACTGTGCAAAAAGCTGCAGGGAGAGTTGTGGAAAGGGAGTAACATGAGCAAAGGGCCTGCGGTGGACAGAGCCTGCCCTGTTCAAGCTACAGAAAGGAGGAGAGTGTGGCTTGAGCATAAGCCGGAGTAAGGCTGGGACTAGATTGGTTTAGGCAGGAAGTGTGGCTTAGCTTCTTCTAAGTGCAGTGGGAATAGCCACTGGTGGGTTTTATGCAGTAAAAAACACACAACCCGTATTTTGATACAGTGGGTGTTTATATATGTGTGGTGTATGTGTAGATGCACATGTATGTGTATGCATGTGTGAACATATCCTAAGTATACAAGTGTGCATGTGTGTATACATGTGTGCATGTATCTTTGCTTGTGTGGTCAGGATTGTCCCTGGGGTTCATGCATCCAGGCTTGCACATGCATGTGAACACCCGCCAGTGCATCTCTGTCTCCCTCTCCTGGACAGATTCTCAAACTTTGCCCGAAGAAGAAGAGCTCCTCCACATACACCTTCTGCAAGTCAGTTGGCCTGCTGGGCATGCAGTTCCACCTCTTTGAGAATGAATGTGAGTCCCTGTGGGACCCAGGGATGTGGCGGAGGATGGTTGGGGGAAGTTGAGGGCTGTAGGGAGGGTGGAGGGGGAAGCATGCTGGGCTGGCTCCAGCCTCACCTGCTGCTGCTCACGGCCCATGGGCCTGGGGTCTGGTTTCCAGATTACTCTCATGGTATCACCCTGGTGACCCCACTCTCGGGATCCGAGAAGAAGCAGGTGCTGCATTTCTGTGCCCTGGGCTCAGACGAGATGCAGAAGTTTGTGGAGGACCTGAAGGAGTCCATCGCGGAGGTGACAGAACTGGAGCAGATCCGGATAGAGTGTAAGGACACAGTGCAGCCCAGGCTCTCTGAGGCGGTTGGCAGGGTGGATGGCCCAGCTCCCAATCAACAAGGGATGGAGTTGGCTTGTAGACAGACACACTCTGACTCCTTCCCCCACTTTGGAGGGAGTGTGTGGTGAGCCAAGGACCCTCCTACAGTCCTGAACCCTCCCCAGCCCACTGCATAATCACGGCCCCATGTGGGTGCACTGCTCTTCTGTTTCTTCTCAATACATCGAGGTAGGCTAGAGCATGCATGCGTGTGTGCACACCTAGCCAGGCCATGGGGCTGCATGTGGGCCCCTTGGAGCTGAGAACTCCTCTGTTTGGACCAGGACGCTGAGCAAGCTGACCAAGGCAGGCATGCAAACCAAAGAGGTCCGGAGCCTAGTTTCTCTGCCATCAAATTCCCTGTACAATCTTTTCCTCTGGATCCAGTCCAGGTTCATTATAGCTGGTTGTTTCGTTTCTTTCATCTCTTTTCATCTCAAATAGTCCCCCGACTTAATTTTCATAAAGTTGTGCTTTGAAGAGCCCAGGCTGGGTTTCTGACTGTCCCTCATCTTGGTCTTTCTGTTTTTCTAAGGAAAACCTTGATTCTTGATGGCTCCAGTTCAGGAGGTTTAGAAAACATGGTCTCTTCATATGTCCGGGTGGTTTACTGGTTGCTTTTCGGCTTAAGAAAAGAGCAGTGCTGACCTGCAACCTATGTCCATCTGCAGGCTTTTACTGTTTAAGCACTGCTGTGGCTTCAGATAGCCTTTAAGACAAATAAGAATGGATTCAGAAAGTAAAACAGAAAATAAAACTAAACTTCAGGTCTGCCTTATACAACCAATTAGTTGAAAAACATTTCTAAATTCATAAAAACCTGCCCTGGCCCAGTGGCTTAGGGGTGGAGCATCATCCCATGCACCAAAAGGTTGCAGGTTCGATTCCCAGTCAGGGCACATACCTAGGTGCCTAGGTTTCAGGTTTGATCCCCAGTTGGGGGTGCGTACAGGAGGCAACCTATCAATGTTTCTCTCTCACATCTCTCTCTCTCTCCCTCCTTCCCTTCCTCTCTCTCTAAAAATCAATAAAAATATCCTCGGGTGAGGATTAAAATATATTCATAAAAATCCATTAGGCAACAGGAAAGGCAGTGGGAGTTTTTGAGCAGGGACCATATTACGGAGTGCTGCTTTTTAATCAGTGTTTGGGATCACCTGCTATGTGCTAGGCAGTTTGTTTATATTCCACTAATCCTCACACTGATGCTGCACGGTGGGTGCATTGTCCCCATTTGCCAGATAAGACTCAGAGAAGTTAAGGGGTGTGTCCAAGGTCATGCATATTAAAAGCAGAGGAGCTGGAATTTGCATTTAAGTCTGATTTTGAGGTTCATGTACTTTCCACTCTGGGAAGGAGAGAAGAGGTTTTGTTGATAGTTTCCTAAGAAAACAACCAAAGCTAAATCAAGTTAAAATAAAAAACCCACCAGACCAGCCTATATAATTCCAGTTACTGCTTAGGTGAAGGGAGGGTGTGTAAATTCCTGTTCTGCACTCCGTCGACATACTTGAGTTCACCAGTACAACAAACAGACCCTTTTCGAGAGGACTGGGCTGATGCTCAGATGCAGCTTCTGCCGGCTACTGATCTTGAACATTCTCAAGAACACACCCTGAAATGGCTTCACTTCTCTCATTGTCAAAATGTCAGTGGGAGGGAAAAGCGGGGACATCAGTAATATTTTCAACAAAATAAATTAAGGAAAAAAAATGTCACAGGTGGCTCCACACAGCCCTGGGGAGCAGCTGGGGAGCCACAGTGGGCCCATGGGCACCGGCATTATTGCAAGAGGCACCTTTTCCCCTCAGCCTGGACGCAGCACATCATATATCTCCCCAGAGCACAAAGGAGTAGATATCACCAGAATCTGTATGTCAGGAGGCAAATATCCTCTTCTGCTGTCTAGAGGGCAGGGAAGTAGGGAGAGAGGCTCACATCTAGCCCTTCGTCTTCAGATGGGGAGAGAGGGAAGGAGCAGCTGAGGGAAGATGCAGGCAGGGCCGGTCAGGGAGGCAAGTAGAAAGGAGCAAATGAAAATCAGCAACAGCTACAGTTTATTAAGCACTGGTTCCGTGCCCAGCCCTGGGCTGAATGCTGAACTTACTGTTATATAATTCTTGCCACACTTTCATGAGGTGAGTAGCATTGTTCTCATTTTATAGATAAGGAAACTGAATCTAACAGTGCTTGAGGAGGTTGTGAAGTTCACCAGTCAGTGACAAAACAAGACTTGTACCCAGGTTCCTTGGACTCCTTGCTCACTTTCCCAAAGCCGAGAAAGCAGCTCTGTGGGGAGAGGAACGAAGCTCAGTTCCGTCAAGTATTTCACATTGATTGATGCTGTGATTCAGAGCAATCAGGACAAATGGTTTTGGTTTGGGGGTTTGCAGTCTGTGTCCCTGGATTATAGACAACCGGAGAGGCAGATAATGGGACCCAGGAGAATAGCTTTAATAAAAGGAACTTGAGTTATGTCCCTGGAAGAGAGAAGCTGAAGGAGTGATTTAATAATGACTGTCAAATCTCCAAGGATGGTCACTGGCAGTTCTCTAGCAACACCCAGAGAACAAGGAGGAACGGGTTTTACAGTCGAGAGAGAGAAATTGGAGTTGAGTACCAAGACAGATGCCCTGGCCACGCAGGTGTGCAGCACCCACAGACCTTGGGCACTGGGGTCTCTTCCTGAGGAGCAGCAGAGGCTGGGGTTCAGCGCCAAGGGGAGCGTGGCGGCTGGCCAGACCTCACTTGCCATCTCTAAGGTCTACTGTGCCAAAGGAGTCTTACACAGTGTAATAAAAGGTATTTAGTGAGCACTTGCCACAAGCCAGGCCTTGTTCTAAGTGCCTTAATGTATTTCCTCATGGAAATCCCCTTAAGGACACTTTGAAGTGGGCACTGCTGTCCCTCAGGTGAGGCATGGAGAAGCTCAGTGACTCGCCTAAAGCTACAGAGAGAAAGTATCAGAACCAGGATTCAAACCCACACAGCCCACCTTCCTCTTCTTAACATCTTCTACATTCAAGTAGATATTGTCATCCCCATATACAGATGAAGAAACTGAGGCTCCAGAAGGTATTTAACTTGCCATGAAGTGGGGTGCCCGACCCTGAGGCCCATGTTTTGTAGCGTGTTAGGGATTTGCCCTCTTCCCACTCTCTCTGTTTCCTCCTTTCCTTCTTCACCTCGGTGTGATTGAGGTTAGGGTTTCTCTGTTCACGAGCCTCTCCATTCCCTAGGGGAGCTGGAGAAGCAGCAGGGAGCAAAGACACTCTCCTTCAAGTCTGGAGGAGCCCAGGTGGACCCACAGCCGAAGCAGGGATCGCCTACAGGTGAGCCTTGGACCCTGAGTTTCAGACCCCAGGCCTGGATGGCTGGGGCACAGGTGGCATGGACGCCACTTGCCGCCCCTGGGCTTGGGTTCCCGGGAGATCTGGGTAAGGGAAGTGCTCGTTTCCGTGGCCATTTCTTCCTGCTGAGGAGTTCCAGGCTTAGTCTCATGGGGCCTCAGTGGTGGGAGTGAAGAGGAAGGAGAGAGACTGCACCAGGGCCCGGGGTCCACATGCTACATCCC